GAAAGAATGTTAAATAATAAGAGATGTATAAATGATGAAAAGTTTTGAACAAGCTTGGGACCCCCATCTCTCTCTCTCTCTCTCTCATTCTCTCTCTTTTTTCCCACCCATCCTTCTTGTCCCCCTCACCTCTTTTCTATTTATTTCTATCTCTCTACCTCACACTCATTGTTCAAATAAATCTGTAACATTGACTTGGGCATATGGTCTCATCTGCACCTAAACCTGTGCAGAGGCACCTCTTAATCATTGGATTGTAACAGCATGAGCCTTGCACATAAATTAGGCAGAAGAATTCTAATTTTTGTGCATAAAGGATAGAAAAAAGTTGTTACAAAATACTGTAGGTACTTGGCACTGCCAGTAGTTGCCCTTTGCAAAGCAACCAGGGCATTGCTTATCTACCTTTAAAACCCATATCCTTCCTAGAAGGAGCAAGGAAGCCCATGAAGAAAAGGGCTTTCCATCTCACATTAGATCATTACTATAAGATGTCTATCTAGGAGCATGAGAACCAGAATCTTCAGGGGGAATTTATAATGTTAGAATAACCTGCCCATGGAAAAAAACTCATACTTCCTATTTCTCCCTCTCCTCTCTGTTGCAGCCATTAGTGCTGCTAGGATTCACAGAGACATTCATAATCTGGTTCTGAGTCACAAATACCTCTTGGCAAGGGTGTACCCATAGGCAATATATTACTTTGATTAATTATTTTCACCCAGGTGAAAAGTAACTCTGTATAAAGACGTAGCACAGGTCCCAACCGTCAGCTTATTTTATGTAGGGATGCACTGGGAATTTAGGGAGGAGCAGGCCTTTTGTTAGTCACCTTCAAGAGGAAGGTCATCCCATGCATGAGCATCACTTCCTTTTCTATTTGTTGCACTGGGTTTTTTACATAAATGACCCCTTCCCTTTTGACTTAACCTGTTGGAACTGCTGTCTATGTACATAGGTAAGCTTACACTAAGCTTAAGCAAGAAAAATGTGCAGGTGGCACAGATGTCCAACCCACATCCCTAATAAAGATGACATTAACCAGCTGTGTTGCTCTGCAAAATGCTGCCTTGCAGCTCGGCACCATCCACTGCCTACACCTGTCTATATGTTTCAGAGTGTTTAGTTTTAGTCATCTTTTGACATGAGCTCTATTGAACACAATTAAATTTGGAGAAATCAGGGCCAATTAATGGGTCCGTACTAGTTAACTTAGTAGGAATAGGATCTGGACCTGAGCAATATCCTCTGTTTGTCCATACTATTATCACACACAGTCCTTGACACAGTATTGTTCATGACAATTATCTGTCTCTGAAAAAAGACTAAGGCATGGACAGATCTCCCTGTTACAAGCTCTGGACTGCTTTCAGTAGGAGTGTGGATGAGGCCACACAGTTCTTTTTAAAAAGTAACTTTAGTGATACAGGTACAGAACATGCTGTGCTCCTTTGTCCTCAGGCCAGATAATGGGCTTTGGTATGTTTCATTTAATAGCTTAAATGTAGCTGCTTTACTCTATCTTGAAAAAATTGAACATTATTTGCTAGGCTGTCTTCAAATCTTTTGGACATATCAGCTATAGAATCTTATAACCCACAGTTAACCTATCCTACTTGGAAAGTCTGAAGTATTACAGGACTTCTCTTCTGGAGCACTGAGTATATGAAAAAATATATTCAGTAAAGTATTCTTCCCTTTTTGGGAGGAGTCACAGAACAATATTTGTCTAAAAATTTTCTTCTGAGTTACTGCTCATTCCACATGCTGTGTTGTGAATCTACATAACAGCTCAATGGAGCTAGGCTATGCTATACTATTTTCATTATGCTATCTTATAAACCTTAACAAAGATGTTGAGGTAGCACAATATTTTGCAGTAGGTTTTGTACTGAAAAATGGAAAACCAACAAAAATTGACAAGAAAATCATGTAGAGAAAAATGCATTTTATTAGCAACCAAGGGACATAGAATTTTTAGAAAAGCAAATAAGCTGAAGCTAAGAACACTGAACACAATCATCTTTTTCAGAAAACTATGAGAGTTGGGAAGTATGGTAATGTATTGCCACTGTAGGGTGCTATAAGCATTTGACTTTAATGACACTGAATAAGCCATTCAAAACTGAATTATGGTACTTGTGAAATACTTCTGTTCAGTTTTCTGCCAGTGCTACTCTGTTTTAAAAGTCACTGTCAGTTTCCTAGCGGCATTGTGAGAATTCCTTGGATGGCAAATAAACCTCCATTGTAGATGAGGTATTTAAAATGAGCCTGCTTGAAATGTCCTCCAGACTGTGTCAAAAACCTAAGCTGCAAGAGATAGTGGCCTCTCCTTACTGATCACTAATGTGTCCTAATTGCTGGTTATTAATAAAGAGGATTTATTGTAGGGAAGAATTCTAAGATATTTCTTGTTTTCTATCATAAATTACTAAATCAAGCTATCAGAATGATTTTGATGGGGTTATATAACCCTAGGATGTTGCCAGTTATGTTTGTATCTACTTTTCAGAGAACTTCCTGTTTTCTTCTTGAGAGAATGACAAACAAAAGCAGAGTTTTTAATTACGTTCCAGCAAGTAGATTATTGATAGATAGATAGATATGAAACAAGTTACTGTTTGCACCAAAGCACCTCACTGGTTGAACTAAAAATAAAAATAAAAATATCCTCGAAATGTGAAATCAGTAGTAGTACGTGGCCCAGTGCAATGGTTAGGTAAAATACATACTCAGTTGTCAATACAAACTTGTTTGTATTTTTTGCACTGCTCTTTTCTGACACTATGGAAAAATCTCTGTCTAGAATCTGTGCTTCAACTTGGATGTTTTCTTAAAAGCAAGAAAGGTACTAAGGGAGATATAATTCAAGTTCTGAAATAGTCTGAGAAATTACATTTTGCTGTATTTCACTTCTACTCTTCCTTCAATTTAATATGGACTTTATACTAGAGAATTAAAAAAACGAAAGAAACCGGACTGTAGAACAGTTCTCACATTCTGGGCATGGCTGGATTTGTAAGTGTTACATGTGATACTGAGATCCAAAGTCAAAGTTTGAGTTCCTCTGAATTTCTGAAAGCTGAATTTCTTCAGCGTATAGGAAGTTTTTTCATGGAAAATAGTTATGTGTCATTTTCACTGTTATGGTTATGGTGAAACTGTTTAATTCCTGATATACAGCACTGCATCATATATTCTTTATTCACTAGGAACAATGCTTGCATGTGGTTATAATACAGAAAATGAGACAGACTGTTTATAAGTAAGTCAGATTTACTTTAGTCTAAAAAAAAAAAGGTTGAGTTATTTTTTACAGCTTTGAAATACTAAGTAATCAGCATAACTGACACCAAAAATTCACCATCCAAAGAATATACTGGTCACAGAACAGTCACTAAAACACAGCTGGCCTGCTTCATTCCTAGGCTGAGGTCAGCACCATTGTTGGAATTTCATATGTATGCATCTTCCTATAGACTGTCTGCTCTGTCACACCAGACACCAAAGAGTTAGCAAGGACTGCCCTACAATAAGCCTTGGGCTTATTTGGGGTGTTCAAAGGCCATACTTACAGGAAAATATAAATTTAACTTCTCCAGACTGTATTGTTTGCATCTCTATTTGTGTTTCTCAAACACTTTGGCTAAAGAAGAAGAAGAAGGTAGTGCTGTGAGACAGGTTAAGCATATCTCTGATTTACAAGTGGGTCTTGTCTGATTGAATGGAAACTGATAACAAATTCACATCATGTAGCACCTGAATTTTGAAAGAAAAATGTTTCAAAAAAGAAGATATTCCTACTCTCAGGTGTTACTATAAATAAAAGCTAGATGTCAATTTCAAATGAAAATGTATGTAAATTTTTTAAAGCTAATTCCCATTTGATGCTAATTCCTCATTTCTTATGGAGAAAGACATCTGTTTCATATGGGAGGCAACTAAATTCTCAATGTGTCTGTAAATACATGTATTCACAAAAGTTTCTTCTTGACTGTAAAAAGATAAATACATAGTACCTGAAAATTCCAGGACTGCTGTAAGTATTTTTGACTTTAAGAGACGCAGAACTTGAGATGTACAAAATTTAGAAATGTGTGCGTGCTTGTATTCATTAATTCTGAGATTTATGGTAGTTAATAGTTTATATTATTTGTATAATATGTGGTATTTTCTTGTCTGCTGTTCTGCTTCATCAGCTGTCTTTTATCAAACAGAACCAATGTTTGGAGAGTAGCTTCATTCTGCTAAGTACCAAGCCTATGAAAAGGCAACCATGAATAAAAATACAGGCTATTACTAAGTTAATTCATGTCAGTTTGCTTTTTTGTTTTCAAAGAAATTCTTAATTTTCACAAAAAATAATAGGACTAAAGGTTGGCCAGCATCTTGTTAAACAACCTTTCACATATTTCATTACAAAAGTTGCCAAAATATAAAATAATGTGGGCTTGTATAAGATACATTAAAACCAGCCTCTGTATCTTAAAGAGAAGCATGGAGTTGTACAAAGTATTCCTATAAGAAAATTACTGATTTCCTACTACTGTATTTACTAACATTAATGCAGTTCTTAGCCTACAAACCTATTTGCAGCCATTTTAAAGAAAGAAAAAAAACCCAAAACTGAACACAAGTTCTTCCCTCCTTTGTTTATTGCTGGCAGTACTGAAGGAGCAATGCAAATGTGCAGAGATAAGAGAGGCTTGCAACAAGATCTCATGTGGGAGGAATTTCCCCCCAGATCTTTTGCCTCTGCCCACATACCCAAACGGTGCAAATACTTGATGCAGATCAGATCCCAGCATGTGATCCCCATGTAACACTTCTGCAGAACTTCTCTTCTGTGAAATAGGGTGTTCATGTTCATCCCTGTAAATACCTGCAAGTCTGGCTGAGAGGCAGCTCTATATCTCTGCAGCACATATTTCTTGGAAAATCCAAATTACTCTAGCATATTTTTCCAAATGATAATTGCTTGGTTTTCTGTTTTCAAGGTCTCTGAAGGCAGTTCATTTTGTGAAACCCAATCCTACTGCACTTGAAAAGAACAGCAAGCACAGAAGGACAACAACTCACCCGTACGCTTAATTGATCTGGTATTTCTACAAGGTGCCACCCTTTTCCACACCTCCTACCTCCTCCTTAAGTGACTCAGCCTCTAAATGAGAAATCTCTTGACTTTTCAGACAGCTGGATGGGGAAGAACAGTTCAGCTCTCAGTCTGCTTTGATTGTGACTCCCTTCCAGGCTGACTAACCACACTGAGCCACACTAGGACACTAACTTCTACCATACCTAGGTAAGGATGTTAACTGTTCTGGTTTTATACTGTTCCCTACCATGTAGGGAAACTCCTACATTTTCAGATGTTCTGTGATTTCTTGATATCCAGTTTAGAATGCCATTTCTAAGGATCTGATTTTCAAGAAGTATGGAGAACTTGACTATGAAAATGCAGCTCTGAATGTTACACAGTTTTGGTGTTCAGATTCCTGGGACTTTTCTGACTTCTTCTGTCCATACTACCTTAATTATTGCATCATTTATGTTATATTGATAATTGTATTTTATTCTAGTGATAATTCTCTGATAAATTCACTGTTCAGACCACTTTTCATGAATGGCTGTTTTAATGTTGTTTTTGCTCTTTGGTTCATTTTATTGTTTTTTTTTTTCTTTATTTGGAGTTTTAGTCAAAAATTAATGAGTATTTACTCTTTTATAATTTGCTTGAATTATCTTTATTATTTTGGGGGAAAAAAACCCCAAACCAACAATTCCATTTCATTTTCACCTTTGCAAAAATACGCATTCTACTTAAATGCAAGGACTTATCTATACAATGACCTGAACAATGTATAAACAGGAAGCGTTCTTCATCAAAAATCTAGTGAATTGAATGACAGAGCTGAATAAAGAAAATTAAAATTATCACCCTCTTTTCTGCACTCTATTAAAAAAATACTACATTTAAAACTGAATGAATATTTCTAATTTGCAAATACATACAAATTTGGATTGTGATTTAGTTGATTTTACATTAGTGACAGTTCCACAGCTTCTTTCAAAACAGAATCTCCTCCGCCCACATCTTGAAAAACCAGTTTTGAGAGCTCTTTCAGCTACAAATACGTGAATGATTGCTGTCATGCATTCACGTGGTCTCTAGTCCTATCTTGCCTGTTTTCTCTCTTACACAAATATACATGTTATTTCTGTTTTCTGTGTGAACTCTTTTCTGTGTTATTAGTTCTGTGGACAAAACGGTAGAATAAAATATTTATTTAAACACAATGTGTTATTTTCAGAAGTTCACAAATGTATCATATGGCTATTGCTCTGATGTGTAATTCCTGAAAAAAAATCTCTTTAGGAATATGTTCCTGTGATTGTTGAATGTCCGTAAAATAAATGTAGCAATTTTTAAATGTAGTTTTTAGCAAAGGACAAAAAGATTAGCTAACAAACAGAATCATGTTACTGTTGGCAATTGTGTAGGGAAGAAATTAGAGCATCAGTTATACATATAGGTCTGCACCTGACAGAAGGGGCCTTTAAGACTATTTGAAGAGATCATATTCTTGTCTGTCATAACAAGTTTGGATTTATGAAGGATTGTACAGCTTTGAATGGTTCTGACTGTGATAGTGATTTGCAAAACAGCCTTTATCTGCAATCAGAAAATTCTTATTTGAGAGTAAGGTATAGGTAGGTAGATCTGACAGCCAAGTCACAGCACTGTTATCTGAGGGGAGAAAGGATGCATACGGACAACAGCAAAATTGCTATTGACTTCCAGACCAGAAAGATGTTACCTCACACACTTACGAGTGCCTGTCTTGAAGAAAAGCTGCAATTATGTGTGTCCCCAGTGTCTTAGTAGGGCTTGGAAATCTTTATCCTGTATCAAGTCAGGATTACTTAATTCAATTGCTTGCTCACACTATATTCAAGAGAAATGATGGAGGAAATAATGAAGTTTGCTGACTTGAAAGTTGTTAACTGAAAGCAAGGATACACTGTTGTGTCTTTCATAACTATGATTCAGACCAGATGTGCTTTTCTTTAAACCATCATATTCTCTACATTCAGCTCACATAAATGAAAGATAAGCCACATATTACAGAATTAAGAGTTACAAGGGAAAACAAAGGAAAACAAAAGGTAGAGCTGAAGTAAGTCTTCAGATCTAATGGAATGATTCTAAAATTTTGAGCTCTGGTTGCTCACAGGGTACTGACTGTTTGGCTTGGGTCAGAGCAGAGTAGTTCTTCAAGAAGATCACATTTTGGTGGCAAGCTTGTTAATTTGGATACAGAAAGAAAAAAGTATAGGCCAATTTTCTTTTTCACGTGGCAAATATTCGATGCTTTCAAAAAGCTGGAACTTGAAGATCATGTAGCAAACAGCAGCCAGCAAGCTGTGGTTGTGTGGAGCCATATATGGAACCCGTTTATTCCAGCTGGTGTTTCATGTGGACATACCAATCTCAGCAACTTCTCTACAACTGAGGCTGGTTTAGCAATACAGCATGGGAAGCTGGATGACAGGCAAATTCTGAAACATTCCTTTTTTTAAGTCAATTGTTCAGCTACCACTTTTTGTATCACCCAGTTCATCAATAATAGTGGGAAATTTGACATTATAGGCATTTGAATTTGGCAATGCTTTATATGAAAAACCTCAGTATAAAAACAAATATTTTGACTTTTAAAAGAAGAAGGTGTATCTCTCTCAACACTCCTTCAACATTTACTATTATACAGTGTGGTGATAATGCAGAGGCCTCTTGCCTCTAAGCTGTGGAAATTAATCTTGTTTTATTAGAAGCAAAATACATATCAACTGACTTCTTATGAATAAGGTCTTAATTACTGTCATAGCTAGAAGCCAAAGAGCAAAGATTTTTTTTGTTGTTGGAAGTAGTTCAGTCTGATGTGGAAAACATGAATCTTACAGGAAATGCTTCTATTATTATGTATTTTTTTAAATACAGCAATGCATATGTGTGAAGCTTAATCACAAAGAGCAGAAGGAAGGCAGAAGGACTCTGTGGTGGAGGAATGGGTGTGCTCAGATGATCTGAAAACTAGAAGGTCTGGCTTTCAGAATTTAAGGCAGGCCTGAGGTATTCTCCTGATCAGTCACTGCAGGAGATGAAAAGGAGATGTAGAAGTGTAAATACAGGTATTTGTGATAAAAATAGTGTTAGAGATTTGTGCTGCTTTTGGAGGAATTTCTTGCCAGATTAGATGTACTTTTACTTGCCCTGAAGCCAAGTCTGAAGTTTTTCTGAATTTCTTTGGGATTATGCTTGGATTTCCCACAAAATGTTTGAGGGTCTGAATCTAGGAGTGGCATGTCTTAAAACCATTTAGAAGCTGCTTACTGGACTGGCCAGGGCAGTTTTAATTTTCGTTTAGAGTTTCCTGACGCTGTTTTTAAATTCAAATTACACTGGAGTTGCATTCCTGTTTGTTTTTGTTTTGCATTCCAGCTGAGCTGTTTTGCTTCGGTGGTTGAGATCTTATTAAAAATGTCTGAACATAGTTTACTACTGCAGCATAGTACAGAAAGCTGTAACTCTGCTTTCTCACAATCTCATTTACAAAGTTAAAAACTTTTTATCTCCCTGTTGTCTGAAGATGAGCTGTTCACTGACCTGTGTAAATAATGTGACAGTTCCAAATCTTTATGAGCTGATATTTTTAAACTAATGGCATCCTCATAATCTCTAGTCCACTCCCCTTTTTAAATGCACAGATACAAACACACACACTTCAAAATAGTGAAGGTCAAGGAAAAATGCTTTGATGAGCTCTATTCTTCCTCTTTATGCAAGATTCTTTTCATTTCTAAGCCCTAAAATTTAAATCTTACCCTGATGATTCTTGATTGTCTGTGCTACAGATTAAAGTAAATTTTTTTTAATTTGCATTTTAAATTTTAATGAATTAATCTTTGATATAAAACTTGAAAGCTCAGGGTAAGAGGAAAGCCTTAAGGACAAAATGGCAGTATTCTGTAGGACTAAAATGCTTGGGTTTAATATTTCAGACAACCTGGCACATTTTCAGTGCTGACTGTAAAAGGGAGTGTACCTGTTTCTTAGATTCATTTATGCATACTGCTTTTGGGTTGGGACACTATGCAGCAGTTTATTCTGGATGCTGTACACATGTGAAACAGAAATATTGTTTTGCCCTAAAAATATTAAAAAATTAATATAGGATGAGAAAAACCCCAGTATTAATTAAATGTCGGAGGATGAAAGAAACACACTGGACTCTCATGGATACAAGAGGAGTTGCAAGCCTCTTTATAGTTGCTTTTCATTTGGTTTAATTTTCACAAAAGAAGTCTCCTTTTTCAAAGTCTTATGATTAATTTCCCTTAGAAAATGGCTTTAAAAGTACTTAATAGAAAATAAATCCAAAATCCTTCTATGCAAACTACTACTTCTTGAGATGAAGAAGTTCCAGTTTTCATTGTTTGAAAATATACTGAAATATCAAATTTCTATTATCCTGGGACTGACTACATCAATGTCCAGCTGTACCTAAGCTGAAAAAGTAAATCAGAGACCTCTCTATCATCTTGGGACTCAGGAAAATTTATAGTGAAAGTGGTAACTATCTAAAAAAACTACCTGAACAATTTCTAGGAAATTCAGTTCACATATGCTTAAAACCTTACATAAATATTTTTAAAAGGCATTTTATAACCTATTGCAAAGTAAATAAGACTCACCATAGCCCTGAGCATATTTTTATTGTGTGGGAACCAGATCCAGCAGTCACATGTTTTCTACACACACCGTGCCAATGCTTGCTTGATACCAACAATTGAGCTTTAAAAAATGGAATGCAGCTAGGAGCCTTTTTAAAACGCCAGAATTTTAAACTTTAAGAAATATTTGGAATTTTACAACTGGTTGAGATACATGCAGACTTTGGACTCCAGTATTAGTTTTGTGTTTATATCTTTACTTTCTAGAAAGATCTCTAGTTGTTTAATGCTTCTTGTTTGTTTGCTGGTTTGTTTGTTGGGATATTTTTTGGGAGGTTTTTTTTTTTTTTCGTTTTTTGGGGGCTGGTTGGGATTCTTTTGATGGTGGGTTTTTTGTTGTTTTTTATTTTTAATCATAAGGTTTTTTTAGTAATTGTTGGGCAGCACAAGCAAAGAAAAGAAAAATGTGCTCTAAGTGCAATCCTTTGTGGCAGCCACAATGTTTTATTGTCAGTGTAAGCATTATTCTTAAGCTTTTGCCAGAATCCAAAATCTTCACCTTCCATCAGGAAAGAAAGAACCGCAGGCCACAGTGTCTCCACTCTATTTTAGGTGTGTAAGAAATACATTTCACATCTGCAAAAAGAAAGAAAGGATAGCTCTATCATCCAGAGAACCAAGAATGTTTCTGATTTTTAAGGACTGCTTCTGTCAGTTTTCTGGTGCTTCTGTAAGTTTTAGCAGCCTGACAGTGGAGCATGTTGTGAGTTTTCCAGCATAACATTGTTTTCTTGGAAAATGCTGCTTTACAAAAAGGAATCCCTTTGCTAAAGAGGGTCAGTTTTGCCCAAACTCTTAAGTCAACGTTAGCATTTGGGGCTTTTTTAACTTAAGGGACAATTTTCTGTCATCAAAATGTCATTTGGTTCTGCTTGATGCTTTCTCTAGGAAACCTGGTATTCACAATCCACTTTCAAAGCAAAACATGAAATCTTTTGAATGGCTCAACTCCGAAATATATATATTTTTTTTAAAATCATCAGTCTTGGAGGCTTTTAACCTGATTTGAAGTAAGGGAAGAAGTCAGTGACTAGAAAACTGTTGCAGAGCAGCAGAACTGCTTTCCATCCTGGCCTTCTGCATCAGCTGCTGGCCACTGAGTCTGAGGGACCCATCAGCAGGGCGGGATGGGCTCACCTGTGCTCCAGGTGCTGTGCCAGGGACTGATAGCATCTTCCCCTTCAGCTGACCACCTCAATCCATTCTGCAGTACTCCTCTGTAGCCGGCCCAGGGCCTGCAATGGCTCCTTGGCGGTCAGAAGCCTGAGCTAGGAAATGCCAAGTCACGATGACTGGGCCTAGAAATCCCTCTCTTCCACCTTCAGACCCTGCTTATCTCTCTGTAAGCCTAGAGGTCACTTTCCCCTGACCCTTACTACTGGACAATTTCCAAAACCCCTGTACCCTATATAAACCCCTGCTTCTGCCCAGTTCAGCAGAAGAGCTGTCCCTGAGAACCCCAATAAAGAATTTCTTCGGAACCTCACACAGCCTTCTCCTCTCTCTCCCTGCATTCGCTGCGGCACCTAGCAAGCTAAAGAGCTGATATCACGAAGAGCTGATAATCGCTAAGAGCTGATATCACTCGAGCTTGCTAAGGTTGCCTGCAGCCAGCAGCTGTTTGGGAACTCGGACGGGCTGTGCTGAGCAGGACTGCGCTATCCAGACCATTGCAGCCCACCAGGCATGCCCCGGCTGGAAGCAGCCGTATTACTCCTCTTGCCCCTGCAGGCTCTCACCACACCAAATGCTCTCAGGGAAGGAGCTCCCAACAGGGAAGGGGCAGGGTGACAGGCAGAGGAGCAGGGCAGGGATGCACATAGCTGTCACCAGGCAGGGAAAAGCCACCAGATTCGCTCTGAGCAGAGCTGTGACCAGCCCTCAGCCATTCCAGCCTGTCAGACTAAACTTGTGCAAGGAGATGACCGAAGTGGACAGCAAACCTGACCTGTCTTTGGGGCCGATTCCTAATGTCGCTGACAACGCTCACTTCCTTTCTTTGTCATGTTTTCTTTCAGATTCCCGCAGAAGGACAGAACAATCCCACGGGACAAATGTCAGCTTTCAACATACGAAAACAGTCTCCTAATCAAGGCGGTAATACTGAGTCTCCATTTCCTGCTCCAGGGGCACTTGCAGGCTGAGGCGCGGCCTCCCTCCTGTCCAGGCCCCTCCATGCCCCTGGCACAGCTCCCTCACAGAGCAGTGGCAGGAGGGTGATCGGGGCTACTGTGACCCAATTCAGATGCCACACTCTGGGTGCTGTGCATAAGCTGTGGCTGGCAGAGATTGAGGCCAGAACATCCCACTGGGCAGTAGAGTGTGGTGGAGCGAGGGAGCCGGGTGGTGAGGAGCAGGGTGGTGTGGTTGTCATGGAAAACCCACAGGAGCAAAGTGGCTGCAAGGGCAGCGGGAAGATCCACTGGTCTCAGCGCCATCTCTTTGACCCGCACAGGGAAAATGAGGAGAAATTGAGGAAAAGTAGAATGGGGGAAGGAGTCAGAAAAGTTGTTTAATCATTGTTTGATTATTGTTTAGTCCTCTGGAGGAGTAAAACTTGAGGAGGGCTGTAATTTGCTTTCTATGCAGAGAAATAACCAGAGGCAAACTAGAAACATTATGAAATTTTCCATTTCCCTGAACCTCAAAAATATTTTTATAGACTGAAAGGTTTTGAGATGCATGAGGACGTAGTTCAGGTGGGATGTGCCAGGCTCAAGTGCATCAAAATTCACATAGCCACAGCAGGGCGCTGCTTGGCTCTACGCATAGGGGACATACATTTTTATTGTCAAATAGAGACAGAGATGAGCTGCATCTGCCTGTGCTCATGTGACCTGATCTTTTGTATCAGAGCTATGTTTAATTTTTTAGCTGAAGCTCGGGAGAAAATTCATTAGGCTAGAAAAGAGTACTGGTTCTAGTGTTCTGCTAGCCCAGGGCCTCAGGTATTAGCAGATTGCTTGCTAATCTGCTAAACACTTGTCAAGTGTTTCCTGACAAGAAAACATTATATATTCCTGGGCTACCAGCTTTATACTAGTTTTCGTGAAACATTCTTTACACTTAGCCATTTAAAAAGCCATGATTTCTGAGAAATCCAAGTGATTTTTGACAACCCACTGGAGCTATTCAGGCAAGCCTGGGATGCCTTCCTTTTTTTTAAATCCTTAAAGTCAGATTTTAGTAAGTATTTTTAAGATAAAAACTAGCTCAATAGGCAGTGAACAGGCTTTTAGAAAAAAAAAAAGTATTTAAAATTCACTCTTGGCCATTGTCACTTAAGATAAATGTTTTGGTGCTTTATGACAATTTGGTCTTCTACTCACTGTAGCTATTTGTCATTTTTTAATGTTATCACTACAGGTGAAGTCCTTGTGTTAAATGCAAGGAGTACATTTTCTTATAAATCAGAGCAGAATGCCAAAACACAGCTCTGACAAATGACATGATACTGACTGCATGTTCTTTCTACACATAATGCTTACAGTCTAATTACTGAACACCAGATAGTGATGTCTACTGAAATTTGAAAATCCTTTTGCACAAATGCTCAGAGAGTGAGGAATTAATGGAGAAAACCATGAGGGTCTTTACAGGAGAACACAAGATCCTCTGTACTTTTAATATTTTTTTTAATTAATTGGCTGTATTGACAAATATTTTCTATATTTAATATTTCACCCTCTCTTCTCTGGAAAAATTTGGGGCAAATATAGCAATTAAAAAGATGGAATTTCTATTTGGTCTGAACTTCTATATTTCCATTTTAATAGGCCATGTTAAAATATCACAACAATATTTCCTCTTACCTCAGACACGCTGATGATATGAAACTTAGGTGGACTGAGAATACTAAACAATAGTCCTTGCATATTTTGCTTGCAAAAAGGGCCAAAATTCTCATGAAAAAACCAAAGGAGATAAACATCAGCTTTCTAATACAGGGAAGAATCCATATTCTCCCAAATCAAGTTAATTTCATACTGTTACTTTCCTAATACACTAAATATCAGCCTTGTGGGACAAAGATATTTTAGGTTCTTTTCAAAAGTATGTAAGGCTTCCATGTTTGTTCAGCATGTCTCTCCCAATAACCTTTGAAACCATACACCAATATTACTTAAATTTGATGTAAAGCTATTGCTTTGATTAAAGTTCAGATTAAGATTAAGTAATTGACTAGTAAAGAAACTCTGTTCATTCAGCCTTTGAGGAAAAAGCTTCAGAGTCTGACTCTTTGAGAAACATGAAAATCCACATATTTTGAGCTGGGTATAGTTGGAGTGCCATGTGGTCACCTCAAGATTAGCTGTCATTCAAAACTTGTATCCTGTCACACATCTGCAAATACAAAAACCACAGACAACACCCCAGGAAACAGGATTCATTAGCTTGACTTTCCTGGGATTACTGTGGTATGCAAATTTTGTAATTCCTTTATCAGATCTGTGAAATGTGTTTACATTAGAGACAGGCAAAGCAGTTTCATACTAAGGATGAAACTGAATTGAGTTTGCTAAGCTGGGTTTCTGCAGGTCCTTCAAGGTGAAGCTACAAACTTTTCAAGAAGCAATCTGGATTAAACAGGTGTGATAACTGAAAATTCAATCTGTATGAAACTTTTGCCTATTTCAACCTATGTAATAGTGCTTTAGGTTTCCAACATTTTTCTACATGTTAATTTTCGAGATGTGTTTCTCTGCATTTGCAGATAAGAAGAGCCCCTCTGTTGCAATTAAAAGCAGACAACAGTCTACTCATGATGTTAATAAACGACGGACCCTTTTGCAAGATAACAGCTGGATAAAGAAGAGGCCTGAGGAGGAAAGGTAAGAAAAATATGAAATGCATTTCTTCCATATTTAGTTCAGTATGCCATGTACCTTTGCATGGACCGTCTACTTTTGCATGGATGGTATCAACCAGAATTAGGGGAATTCAATCAAATAACTCCTATTTATTTATCTATCTTGATGAGATACTGATTGCCTTTTGAAAGTATTAGCTTGCTGAATATTCACTGTCTGTTTTTCATTGGGACTTTTGAGTGCTGAGTATTTAATGAAGTTCTGCTCTACAAGTAAAATCACTCATTTCACATGTCTAGGTTGCAAGACTATGATCTCTTTCTTTTTCTAAGCAAGAGGATTATAAATCTTGGCAAGTTCTTTTAAGGAGCCTAAATCAGAATCAGTTTAAATTTAGTCTAGTGTAAACTAGGACCTAAATTACAGCAGAAACATGCCTTGCAACCATGTTATCATTATCTGGACCATGAACAGCTTGTAGGAAGAGATAATTCTTACTCCAAAACATCTGGAGTTTTCTACTGCAGAGTTATGTAGCTGGTGAAATTACAGTGGTAGTGGACAGCTGTGAAATCTGATTGAAAACAGAATATTTTTTGCCAAGAAAAAGTTATCTATTTTTAATACTCATTGTTTTTCTTTTGCTTGAAGTGCTGATGAAAACTATGGAAGGGCGGTGCTTAACCAATACAAATCCCAAGATAGCCTACACAGGTATGGTGGAGTATCTGAACACCTTTCTAATTATATTACCAAAAACTGAGTATCCTTTTACTATGTCATGAACAAAGCAAAGACCTTACTTTGTTCAGTTTTAGTCTATACATATTTTCACTGTAAATCTGGCTCCAGTGTCCATAACTGATCACTGCAGTGGATCCAGGGTTTGACATCTGAATGGTCTAAAACCCTGTGTGTTTCTTTAATCTAAGACATAGATACTCTTTTATTAATGATGAGTTGTTTAATAAAATCAGTGACCAAAATGGCATTTCTAAATTTTTTATTACAGCAGTAGCACAAATGAAAAGGAAGATCAGAAAGCTGTTCTTGGACGATACAGATCTGATACCACCTTGGACAGGTAGGGCTCTTTTTCTGGATGTATTGTATGTTGTGGTTGTCATACCTGTGAGAGGTCTTTAAAAGGAAAGCATTAATGAAGTCAGTGGTTTCTTTTAAAGTTTTCTTATTTATTAAGTATCTAAGCAAAAGACTTCTAAGCATCTAAGCAAATGACTTTTGTATGAATTCTCAATGAGACAAATGAAAATGTGATTTGAGAAAAGGTTCTTTTGATATTTTCTCTTTTTTTTGGTACCTGTTTCTGTGTATTCTTGTTCTCATAAATGTAAGTATTTTTCCACAGCTGATAACCATTTCTCCCCAGTTTCCTCCTTTTCAAACTCTAAACCCAAGTCATATCTCCAATAACTAAGCACAAGATGGCTAAACCCATAGTTCTTTGCAAATACTATGATCAGTACCAATATCAGTAATTCTTTTCATACTGGTGCTTAATTTGAATGTTCGGTTCAGCCTTGACCTCTGCTGGGTGAAGACATGACCATGCTTGTGTTTGCAGGTTCTTTCTGTGTTACATCTTCAAAATCCAACCACCATTAACATCTGATATCCAGAACATACTGGGGCTACGAGAACCAGCACTTAAATGCACTCTGTGGGAAAAGTGCACTTTATTCAGTTGGGTTCTAGCACTGTATTATTTTATTTCACGATCCTTACTTCTCTTGTAAGAAACAATGCAAAATTGTTACATAAAATTTACTTTCTCCACAGGAGTTTGAAAAAGAATAGTCTAGAGACCTGTTCAGTATCATCACCTTACCTATTCTTGTATAGCCCAGTGAATCCTGCTGTATTGGTTCACCCATCATGAGGAAGCCATTCTATAACTTCAATTTACCTGTTGCTCTTCTTTGTATCTTTTCTATTTCCATATTAGTTTTTTGATCTGGGAGTCCAAATCTCCATGTAGGTATTTAAGATTTGTCCTTGTATGTACTCAGAGGAGTAATAGAGGAGTAATAACAATTATTTCTATTTTGTTTGCAATTCCTCCCCTTGTGCTTCATAATGTTGAATTTGCTCTTTTGAGTGCTGCTAAGAATTGTGTTTTAATTTTCACAACATTATCCATATAATTCCAAGATAACACTCTTTTTCTGAGTGATAATTGCTGATTCAGAGATCAATTGTTTCTCTTGTCAGGCATTACTTTGCACCCAAGAAAAGTGAATGTCATCTGCCATTTTAGAAATCTGACATGTTAGCAGATGACTTCTGAAAAGCTTTGCCAGTCACCATTTGTTTTGACTACCAGAAAGTAATGACATTGGCAAGGAACATCATTCCACTCTCCCTTTTTCCAGATAATTCATGAATTTATGGAAGAACACAGGTTTTGTACAGATCTCTGCTTCCACTCTGGAAACTTGCCATTTATTTCAAATGCTTTGTTTCTTACATTTGAAGCAGTTTTTTCTCTATTACCCATGGGAGGTCAATTTACTTAAGAACACTTAAAACAGACTTCTGTGAAGTTTTTTGGAAATTCAAGTAGCATATATCACCTATGTCACACTTATCCAGATAGCCATTCACTTCAAAACAATTTTTAAAGCTTGATTTTCATGCCTCAAACCCTGATTGCTAATTTAGAGGTCATAGGACAAATTCAGTTTCTACAGGGTCACTGAGGATCACTGTTCTTTTGAACTCTACATCTTTTTGCTTTATGCTGAGATATTAAAGTATCTGAATTATTTCAGATTGTAAGCTGCTTATTTTGTCTTTTCATACACACAAATATTTAACATAAAGTATTCTTAATATGCAACTGATGACAAAGTATGCCAAAAAAAGGATTTTAGGTGTAAATAAGAATTGTACCAAGTGGAGAACATCTTTCCCAGAGGAAGCAGAAGTATTATTAGGAACTAACTAACTATTTGTCAAAAGATTAAACCTTAAAAGTCAGGTAGGGATGAAAATTACAATGCTATTTTTCCATGTACTTAGTGATCCTAAGTCCAGAATACCTTCCAGAAACACTAAATTCCAACTACATCTATAGCAATTAGACCTGGATAGAGACAGAAGCAAATTACACAATTTCGTTATTTGCTTCATTAATAATCTAATACTTTGGAACGATAGAAATTACTAGGAAAGGATCAGAGAGCAAACCAGAAACCATTGTAGTGTTTGGTATGAACCTGCTTTCCACATCTTGAACACTGCATGAATCATTTCACTGATGTGATGAAGCTACAATAGAACCAGGGGAAAAAAAAAAAAAAAAAAAAAAAAAAAAAAAAAAAAAAAAAAAAAAAAAAAAAGAAAAAAAAAAAAAAAAAAAAAAAAAAAAAAAAAAAAAAAAAAAAAAGGAAGGTGAGAAAGGATGGAATAGCTCTCATAAGAAAAATGTCTGAAAAGACAAAAAGTTCTCCACTTGGAAAAGAATAATATAGGGAAACTGAATAATGAAAGAATATTTTCTGTTTGTTGTACTGTAAGAATGGGCAGATACTCTGTAAATGTTTGGGTAATAAAGAAGGAAAGGAAAGGAAAGGAAAGGAAAGGAAAGGAAAGGAAAGGAAAGGAAAGGAAAGGAAAGGAAAGGAAAGGACATTTATTTTTCCTCTAATGCACATATTAATTGTAGTAGTCACCACCACAGGATACTGTGGAGGCCAGAAATGTAACTTGATTCAGATAAACATTACATGTTTAAATGGACCATTAATCCAGGGGTGTCTGTTGGATACAGCGTTGTGGGTGAGAACAGAGGATATTCTTTGATGTCTTATCAGAAGCTCGAAAGTTTTACAGGGAGAAATTAACACAATGCTTACCTTTCTTTTACATTTTTTTTAAGCAAAAAAAAAAAAAAAAAAGTGCTGGCTTTAAAATGGGAAAATACAAAACTATGTAAAGCATTGTGCTGGAATTTTGAAAACACGAGAGGAAGCGTGCAATAAATGCTGGTTCGCTGGCGAATGAGAGGGAACGCTCGGCTTTGCATCCGCAGCAATGTCAGCAGGGTTAGTGAGACCTCTAGTGACCTTCCCAGCAACTGTAGCTGCTGTCACACCACTGCTGCCCTGATAGCGGAGGGTTCTTTGCAAAATTGCATTTAAGATTTGCAAAAGACACAGAGCACACGCTTGTGCAGATTGTGTCCCAGAACTCCCTGGAAGGCTTTTCATTAAATACAACAGTATTCTGTTGAAGGCAGGACACAAAATATTTTATACGTTACATCAGGTTATAGTTCTAGGATTAATTGTTTTGCATCTATGGCTTCAGTTTATAGATGAGAATAAATAATTTATATATATATATTTAAAAAGTTGTAGCTCAAGATGTGTTTCAGCTGATTTAATAAATATTTAAGATCACCCTCTCAACTTAGTATTTGTCCTCTATTTCAATGTACATCACTTTAAGCTTTTCAGAGTCCCCCAGTTCTTACTAAAAAATATTCCATATGTAGGAAGTAAACTGGAATAAAATAAGAACCTAATCTGCTTCAGCTGTGATAGCTACATGGTGTTTTCTGTGAAAATTTTGAAGGGTTTTAGGCAACAACTGTAGAATCCATAAGGGGCTTGAAAAATCATGTGGTTGTCTCTTCATGTAAATTTCATGGCTTAATGAAATCAGTTCAAGCACAAAGAACCCAACTTCCTGTAGGTCAATACCATCCTTTGCCAGGGATTTGGCACTAGATTATTTTCACATCACATTGATCTATTAAATCTGTAAATAAAACAAGACTGTTGCATCTCTCTAGGAATGGTGAGGCAGAGAAAAAGGCAATAGTTCTGTGTACCTCTTGACTTAACATTGCTTTCATTCTGGTATTTTGAGCTAATTCAAAGGAGTTGTAATAAATTATTAGCAATAGTGATGTGTAATACAGCATTATTGTTTGAACATCATCTTGGAAAACTTTTTCAGTGAGCTACTTGGAGTCTTCAGATAATAGTGCACTAAATTTATGTAATTTCAGCTTCTGTTCTCTGCCTTTAGTGATACTGGGATATTTGTGATACTGGGATATCAGTACACAGTGCAAAATGACACTTCATCTTTTAATTTTATTGAAAATATATTTAAAAAAATAGAGTGTGTATTATAAGTAATTCCTGTGTTTCTGACAGAATTCCAGCCAGAAGTGATACTGATAAAATAAATAAGTCTCCAACTCTGAACCATAAGCAAAACAACAGGTATGAATTTCAGAAAAATTATCATCTAAGTGTTATGTATTATAATTCATCATGCATCAATTATCATGCATTATCATGTGTTATATATTACCATAACTTCAGAATTCATGTACACACCAAAATTACACAGAGAAATTATTTCTATGGCATATGGCCTAGTTTTAGGCTTAATTTGACCACCTGACCTCTGGAATGTAGCCATCTATATCTAAATTATCATAGACTCTTTTTATAGTTGGTGAGAAGAAAAAAAAATTCATTAAAACCAGAAGAATTTTCCTTAAAGAATCCTATTTCTCCACACAGCTTAAAAGGGACACCAGCTCAGATTACACATTTACTCAGCATAATGATTATTTTAAAATGACAGCATTTGAAATACAAAAACCCCAAGAATAATAGTGTTTTGAAAAATGTGGGTATATTCTAGAGCTCTAGAATTCCCTGCATAAACTCTACCAAATACAGTACATAATTCTGAGGAAGAATAAAGAAAGAAATCTATTTAATGCTTCAGTGGAAAATGCTGTTTTACACTGCCAGTGGAAAACTTGAGTACCAAAACATAAAAAATAGTTTTTTGATAATCTAGCTGATTTTTCCAGTGGAAACATTTTCTTTGGTCAGAAGGCCAGTCTTTTTATTAAAACAAATTTTAATTTAAAAGAAGATTAAAACAAGTTTTAATTTAAAAGAACTTGGCACAACTTTGTTGATACACTATTTAAAAAGTTGCTATGATGCAGAGGTGGCCACTCTATATATGTCATATAATTCCACTACACTGAAAAAATATTTTCTAAAAAACTTCCACCTAGTACCTGATTTAAATTTTAATTTTCATTTAAGAAAGTCAGAAGAGCACATCCACCATACTTGTAAATGCATCACTTTGTGTCTTCATCAATGTCAGTAGAGTTCTGACAGCAATAAATTACACAGAACATAGTTGCCAGAGAGCACAGCAATTAAAAGTCATCTTGTGGAGAATTGAGATATTACTCTGAAGAGCAAATCAGTATCTCTGGCATTTAAAGGTCAACTGAGGTCACTCTTTCAAATTATAATTTGGCACCATTATGTTGTAAATCATGCTGATGATGACACATGAAGCATCATATAAATTGAATTTTATGGGGTGTTTTTTGGAGAGGGTTTTTTACAGACCAACAATTAATTCTGAAGTGGGACTTAAGAGAGACTTAAATTGTATGTATTTTTTCCCTGCCAGAGAGCAAAATGATTTGTAAAGCACTATTCTTCAATTACTGTTATTATGAATTGCCAATTACTATCATTAAGAATTGCAGAGGATAAGACAATAACTTTTTGATAAATGTTATGAGAAATCACTGGCTTGGATTTTATGTAGGTTAGTTTTACAAACATAATAACATAAAGCATTATATTTGAATAAGAAACAAAATTTAAAGTAAGAAAATGAAAGATATTGTTGTTATAGTGTTTGGAGACTAAAGTGTAGGTACAGAAGTCAAGATTTTAAGAAGTCAGAAATTACTCTGGATATCAAGTAAAAATGCAGTTGTGTGAACATCAGAACCCCTTAAGGTTTCCCACATCTTGTGTCTTTTGAGGTATATAAACATAGTTATTTGTATAATTCTGATAGCAGAAATATGATTTTTTTTTCTTTTAATAATTTAAAATTATACTTTTTCTGAATATTAACTCAGTAAATATATTTCCTTAACAGACAATCTTGGACTCCTAATGCAGCATCCACAACCACTGCAGTCACTTCTCCAATCAAGAAAAAGAGGTATTCATTCCCACCGCTGCTTGGTTGCCAGAGTATCTATAGCACTGCGTTAAGCCTCAGTAATGTATAACAATTACATTTAGAAATTACCTACTTCCTCCTCCAGCACACTCAAACTCCTCAGCAAGCTTCAAGAATTAAACTTTTCATTCCTCTTTTTTTCCATGGGATTTACAACTTTTATCTCTGTAGAGCCAGGGCCTAGTGGACATGGCACAATGAGTGCTAACTCTTGGCTGCAGCCCCTAACTCAGCCGGTGTACTCGTTTTCAGTGTCCACTTTTAAAGCATTGTAGCTCACTGTAATTGTGAAAGCTCTGATGCCAAACTTGACCTTGTGCTGTTGCAGTGCATATGAATCACACAATTTTCTTAATGATACACAGCTGCCTTTAAAAATCTGGATTTCAGATAGCATTATCCAGGCAAGAACAAAAACAGGGTGTACAACTAAACACATTTTTAATTTAAAATGTACTGCTGGTGATAGCCATAATTTTCTGCATCCTTCCCAGCTGCAAATTCTGTTCAATCATGATTTTCTATTTTATATTTAATGCATAAAAATGTGATCAGTAGACTAATGAATGTAGAAATGAAAATGTCATTGTATTTATATTAACAGACCTGTTTAGTGGAAGTTTATGCTGTTTTCAGTCCAGTAGTTCTCTTCAGACTCTTGGAAGATAGGGAAGGCCATCAATGAATTGCACTGCTTCTAGTGTAATTGTTTTTACCTCACAAACAATTGCTGGATTGATAGTTATGAGGGTAAAAAAAAAAAAACCCAAACAAAAAGGGAACTGAAAGTACTTGTGCTGTTTATGTGACCTCTAATAGCCTGATTGTATTTCTTGCGTTGATACTTGACACTCTTTGTGCATTTTATCTGGTTGTCCTTTCCATAAATGATCCATTTATTTGCACCACTCAGTTTGCAGAAAAAAACACCTAGAGTCACAGAACATTTTTCACAGTAAATAAAATTACTGTACTATTTCCTATTCCATTCAGTTTTCTGTAAATATGGTCTAAAAAGTATCAACATGCAGTCTTTGCAAATACTGATAATTTAAGAAAAGTTCCAGGTATTTTTACATCACTTCTATTCTAATATTCACAGTATGCTGTTCAGGCCCAGAGCATTTAACTAATACTGAAAAAATTATTTATTGAAACCTACAGGCAATCTTGGATGCCTCCCCCAGTTTCGAGTAGTAAGACTCCAACAGAAAAAGAGGAAAGCAAACGGTGCGTATCAGTGATCGCTGCTTATTTCCTAACTCGGCTAGAGCTCATTTTGGGAGCAAGAAAGCAGGGCAGTTCTTTGGTGGAGTGAGCTCGATGCAGGAGATACCATGCAAAGAGAAACATCCCATGCCTAAGTACTTGTCTGGGCTTTTGGCAGCCTGATGCCCAGCATTGACTGGGGCCTGAGCATATGAAATGCCAGCAAAAAAAAAAAAAAAAATTCTATCATGCTTGCAATTCTTTCTTCATGGTTTCACTTTGGACTATTACAATTAATTCTCCTCAAAGCAAATGTGTTGTAGAGAGACTGGCCATAGGGGCAGGGATTTGTTGGTGCCATTTGGATTCACAGTCAGGGCTCATCCCTGGCCCTTTTGGGTATCAGTGTGAACAAAACCTCAAAATTGACTAAGTACCCTGTCATCAAAGTATCCAAGAACAATCAGACTAAAGTTACTTGCAGATGAATGTTTGATGTTTATTTCTGAAGTTGTGGTTGTTTTCTGGCTGAATAGAAAGAGAACAGGGAAAGTTTCTTGTTTCTTTCTTATCTAAAAGCAGAATAGGGATGGTTTAAAATATTAATAAATAAACCTTCATGATCTTTTTTTCTTGTGCCCACTATTTGCTGCAGCATGGCCTTCTGCTTCCCTAGTTTTAACCTGGGAAATTTCCAACATGAGTCTCATGTGCAGTAATGATGAAAATTAAATGAAACAGAAATGAATGGATACACTGTGATGTTAGATATAAGCCTTGGTAAACTATTGCCCTGGGAGTTTATGGAATGTCTGGCACTGGAAGACTTAAAACCAAGTTTAGGAATTACTTTTTATGTTACACTGTGTTTACTACCCTCTATCTTTTTGGCCAAGATTCAGTCACTCTCCACTCAGAAGAAAGATGGCTTAAAGATGTTAAAGTTTATTTTCTTTGAAGTCAGTCCTTACTAGATGTTCTCATTGTGCCAACTGAAAAGAATTTATCTGGCTTCATTTCAATATCTTGCTAAGATCATGATAATTTTGAAAACATAGGATAATGCTCTATATGGCATCCACCCAGCTTCCAATAGCAAGTGCTGTTCCTGTGTTCTTCTCAACACTAATTATCCAGTTACTCCTCCAGTCTCAGAGAAGACTGAAAACAGGCATATTATTTCTGAAGCTTTCATGACTCTTCCTAGATCCTCTGACAATGCTGCCATCACAAACAGCTGGTAAAAAAAATTGATGGGCATTTAATGATTACTTGGTTTAGCTTTTAAAAGTGCTTTGAAGATGTGAAAGCTATTTCAAGTTGTGAATGTTATAATAACTAAAAATAGTTATCAAAGGAAAGCCTTTTACTTGCCTGTGAGTTTCAGGAAAAAAAGTGCCACGCATAGATGCTAATAAGCAGAGCTTCTAAAGGTCACTATCAGTCTTAAAGACTGAGCAAAGAGCTATGTCAGCTATGTCTTTTCTTCACATTTGAGAATGGCTGACTGCTCTGCTATCCTCAGGAAGCGAGTACAGCAAAAACGGATATGTGGGTTTTCTTAGTCAGGGTTATTTATGTACTTTTGTGATTCTCAGATGTTCTAGACTTTTATAGTTAAACATGATATATAAACTTCCAGAGTTCTTTGCCTCAGTTCCAGCTGATTAAACACACTTTACAGAACACTTGAAAGAAATTGCAATTGGAGCTAAGACTATAAGCAGCTCACTGTATTTGACTTTTATGGTTGTGGATTGTGTGCTGAAAACAAAACACTGATTAATCAAAGTGATTAAGTGAAGAATGTTAATTGAAGAATGATTGTCTTAGTGATATAAAGAATATGGTTTGAATTTAGTATTATGCTACTTGAGTTAAATATATATTCTACAATTTAAAAAATTATCTTGGAAGGAAGTGAAAGTAAAAATAATTGCTGTTGATTGATCTAAATCTTGCAAACTTCTTCAATAATAGCATTTTGCTATTTGGTTTCTGAAATGGTTACTCTTTTCTTTCTCTAGAACCACTTCGGAAAATTCAGAGGCTCCAACAACGTATGTCTTACTTTGCTTCTTAGTAGATATAGAAATATAACATGCTCCTTTGCATAAACCTCAATTATTATTTTACATTTATTCATAATACAAACACTGTATAATTTACCTGGGAGGGTTCCTCTGTAGTTGACATTGCAGAAGTGCATGAAGAAGACTTCCTTCCCTGCAGAAATGCAATTATTTGCATATATCTTAGAACATTTCACTGGATATTTACTCAAATTGAAAAAACATTAAACTGCATAAAACATTAAAAACTGCTTTGCAGTTTTAGTTCCACAGTCATATATGTTGCTAATGCAAATACTCTTTTATACACAACTGCTGCTCTAGAGTCAGTGAAAGAGTGTGAGCTATGCAAAGAAAAAGAAACTGTTAAAAGCATGCAAGCAATGTGAAGATAAAGAAAGTTAAATCAAGAAGCTCTGCACATGCAAAGGCTTGTAATAGCAGACATTAAGATGAATTGATGCATATTGCTCTAAACCTGAGTGTCTGCAAAGGTTGCTCTAATTTTAGAAAATAAATTTATTAAATTAATTCATTAATTAAATATCCATTTCACATGGTCTAAATTAAGAGAAGATTACTTAACCAGCTTGCAACTTCACGACTTTTAATTAAGACAGCTCTGCAACTTGTCATGATTTAGTTGCCATACTAAATCAAAAACAGTCTAAAGAAGCAGGTAACCCTCATCAACTCTATCTGCCACCTTCTCCTTTTCTTATAATTACTTATCATTTTAGTATCTCTGTAGTGACTAATTTGATTGTTCACATAAAGAAAAATAGGAAAGTGTAAATGTTTATTTATTGAGCTTTTTAAAAATTCGTATTTTCTAGTTAAATAAAAGCTTTGTCTTTACTAAATAAGATATATTCAGCAAGAGAAAAGGTTTTTCAAGTTTTTTTTTTACTACTAAAATAATTTTTGAACAGTAATGACACTCCACTTTATTACTATATCCATACTAGCAAAATAGCTAGTTTAGGGATATTAGTTTTTCAAAAGGCTCATTGGATGTGGTAATCTAGTGAACTAAAGCATTACATTTCTCTTTTTATAAATACATAATTCTTTATACACACACACATATATATATATATAAAATATATATTTAAACAAAAAAAAAAAATAGAAAAATTTCTCAAAGACAATGCAAACTCATTGTAGTTACACCCGAAAGAAGTATAGTATCACCACTTAAGTGATACAGAGTTTTCAAATATCTTCTTGTACCTTAAGTATGCTTTCACCATTCCTGTTGCAGGGTTGCCCCTTCATCAGAACAGGTGACCCCTCAGAAATCAGAGACTGATGTGGATGATCGAGCTACAGCAAGGTAACATACACAGTATAGTCAAACCAGTGTTTTCATAAGCATTGATTATTGGGATATTAAATACTCAGTTTGCTTTATTTCTATATTTGATAGTTTGTCTGGACATGGTGTGTGATTAATACAGCATTTAAACAGTCCTAACCATTGGCCTAGAAGTCCAAACTCTGAGTTCCCTCTCACTGACTTGCTAAGTTATAGCTGTTTAATTTTTTAATCTTCCAGCCCATCCAGCCTGAATCCTAGAAAACAGCATGATTTTTTAAGTTGCTGCAAATGTTTGGAAGCAGGAAAATTTGGATTATACAGTGTATTTTCTTTGCTCTTCAGACATTATGGGAGCACTTTACTATGTATGTAAAAGCAACCCACTTTAGGGTGACAAAATTAGCGTGTTCCAAGATGGACTTGTTTCTGAGGGATGAGTTAGATGGATCAACTAGTCTTTGAAAGTCTGCAGAACACCATAAAAATTGTTGGTGGAAAAGACACCAACTTTTTTTTTTAACATTTTTAAACTAAAATTACAGCAAATTGTAAGGTTCTGTACTGACAGAGATGTTATATTTTTCAAAGCAATCAGGCAATAACTGCCCCATCCCTGGGAAGTGATACAGGCCAGGTTGGATGGGGCTCTAAGCAACCTGGTCTAGTGGAAGATGCCCCTGCCCAAGAGAAGGGGATTGGAATGGGATAATTCTTAAAGTTCTTTCCAACTCAAAGATATTTTATGATTCTATGATGCTATAAACATGCAAAAAATTTTACTCTGTGACCTTGACCAGAGTAAAATGCCTGAATATGCAATTATAAAATGAATTAAATTAGAAAGAGATTTCTAGATATGCACTGAGAATTACAATAGCTCAATTGCCGTTTTTATGTGGAAATATTAAATGGTGTGAACATTAAAATTAATTTAAATTAGTTAATTTTGTTTAATTTCATTAATAACGTTCAGTTTTATGAGATCTGAAGCTACAGTCTATATTATTTTGAATCCTGTTCCCCTCCCCCATACTCCTAAAAATGTAAAACCAGCATAAAATGACTAAGAAAGCATCCCAAAGATGTCTGACAGTGTAATCCCTAGGAAAAGGAAAAAAAAAAAGCAATGCTTCAGTGCAACATTTTCTTCTCAACAAATGTGGGATATCTTAGAGAATTAAATACACCCAGTATTAACTAGGGAAGTCACAGCCATTCTTCACTGCTAAGGGCTTGTTAAGGTCTGACTTAATCCTCACCCTCAATCAGTTCACATTAATCATCCCTTGGTTGCTCTCATTACCATACCAAGCTCTGTATTCCTGTCCCTTCATTGGTGAAGAGCTGGAGGAATATTTTACTGGTCTACAAGTTTCTATGGCAACACTGCACTGCTATTTGTGTCAGTATATAAACTGTAAGTAGTCTGTAATCTTAGTGGGCAAAATTCAGCCCTCTCTTCTGCTGCAATAATTCCTTTGCATTTGGCTGGTTCTTCAGATGTCATCCATCTGTTGCTGATAGGTTAGCTTCACAAAACTACAGATTTTTGTTACATTTTTGCTAGACAAAAATTGCATTAATTAGCTGCCAGCAAAAGTTCCCCTTTTTAAAAGGTGTCACATAAATACTACATTTTTGGCAAAAATTCTTGTGTCACACAGGGCATGTAAACAGTTACATGAAGAATATATATAGTAATAAATGTGTACTAGAACACTGCTTTAATTTACACCCTTTAGTTACTTATATTTTTACTTGGAATAGAAAGATTTTCAGGTCATGCTTTTAACATCAGACTTAATTGATTAATTGTCTGTCATTCAGGATTCTGATAGGGATGTTAAAGGAATAAGGAATTAATTTCAATATAAAATAAGTGGAAAATGGCAATTGGCTTTCTAACAAACTGTTCAGTGATACAAGGAAAATCTTTCAGAAGGGATTTACATGAAAAGGATGGCAGATACTCTCTTCTGGCTAAAATTGTAAAAATAAAAAAACAATTAATGCATTGTTTTTAAGGACAACAGTTAGACCTGGCTTCCATCTTAAAACACAGAGAGAGTGTGTGTATATATATATATATGTATATGTATGTGTGTATATATATATATACACACACACATCTCATATCTGAAGGCATGGATTATGCACCTTCACCTGTTGGATGTCATTAAGAGAATGGGCATTTCATTATTAGCTAGGGCATCTACAGATACTCTAGGCAGCAACATAGGCTAGGACACAGAAGAAGAGAAGATTACTACCTAAAAATTCTGCATATCAGAGAATAAAAGGTCAAATCAGGTCTCTTGGTATCTCACAAATGCAACAGGAGATGAGCCCTACACTGGATATGTAAAGAGACATTTTTCTGATTCCCTCAATGGGCCTGTTATTCGTGGCTTATCAAGTCCTTTTTGTGCTTTTATCCACATCAGTGAAGATGCAAGATTCTCACTCTGCCTTTTTCCTTTCCATAATTGTATTAACCATTACATTCAGGTGTTTAAAAACTGGCATTTTTTAAAGAACAGTGTTCTGTAAAAAATCATGTTAAACCACTTCAGACATTCTGAGGGTGTTTAACATAGCTTTAGTCAGTCTTTCAATAATGATTACAGCTAGGATGAAAAAAAAAATCTGTGTTTCTATAAAAAGGCTTTTATAATGGGGTTCACATGTATTGAACTACACATAGTTACAGAAAGTAATGGTGTTTGGCACAGTGAGCCACATTTACCAGGACATACAAAATTATTACCATCCAAGAATGCAGAATAATCAAAAGGTTGTATTTCCATAAGTTCATAAACTGTAGAACTAATTGATTTATCTTTTATTTTTCATAGATATATCAGAATTAATTAATGTTGGACATACCTTAGGAAAAGCTTTGAGGTGATAGTAACAGGGGCTATACAAGAGATTAGAGAGAGATCTCACTCAGCTCTTAAAGCATCTGTAGGGAGATTGTCTGCTAGCAGGGAAACACTATTAGTCTGTGGGGGCAAAGGGCATACTGCAGAAACCCTTACATAAAGATGTCTTTTTGGTATGGCAGCTACAGAAGTTGTCTTGAAGAAAATAGTTCAGCTGTTTATTTGTAAGTATGTGGGTGAGAGAGGCAATTTCTAGGGAACAAAACAAGGGACTAGAATAAATTTTTCTGGCATAATTAAGAGAATCCTGTATTCTTGCTCCTGTATAAGCTTTTCCCCTAGTGTACAGGATAACTCACTATTATGACTCCTCTCAGGTAGTAGAAAATTCAGACAATGCTGTAAATCTGTGTGTACTATGCTCCTTTTTAATGATGTTCCTGTTTGACCCAAGATGTGTTCCCAGTTATCATTGCAATAGATTGTGAAAGAAGAGCACATTAATTACCTGTGCTTAAACTAACTCTTCTAATAAGGACTCACATTGCTGTGTCTATCAACAACTGGGAACATTTAAAAGTAGAAAATAAGCTAAGTTACAGGAGTTCTATTAAAAAAAAATTAGTGACTTGTTATTGACTTGGAATTTTCCAAACCAATGGAATTAAAACCATGATGTCAGGTCTCCTAAACAAACATTTATTGACAAAACCTTTCTTGTTCTAGAGCTGCGTAAAGCCCAAAATTGAAAGAATATGTAGGTGCATTTTGAGACATTGGCTAATGATGTGTTTTCATTAGATTGCCATCTCTGAGAGTTCAAAGCCAGACTGGATGGAGCTCTGACCAACCTGGCCTAGTGAAGTGTGTCCCTGCCCACGGCACGGGGGTTGGAGCTGGATGGTCTTTTAGCTCCAACCCAAACCATTCTATGAATGTGTAAGATTTGCAATTCCAAAGAGCCACGATAGATAGTCAAAGGAATTATCTTAGGTTGGACTAAAGCTTAGATAGCCAAAATTTAAAGGCATGGCTCTTACGTGAATAATTCCTGTATGACTTTTCCTTTGGGATGTTTTTTATTTGCTTTGACTTTTTAGCTAGACCATCTAGAGACCTCTAAAATGTTCTGGGGGTCACCTGTGTCCCTCAGAAGTTGTTACAAGTGAGGATACTGAAACAGAACTCACATAAGCACACCCATACTTCACTAGTTTGCTTCGCTACAATGACAATTGTTTCTTTATGGTAAAGTGAAGTTGCTTTACACTTTCTAAATTGTTTTTGATAATACAAATCAATACAGTAATTTTTACTTTTTTTTTTTTTTTTGCATTTCAGCAGCAGGCCCTTCCAAATGACAGGCTCCTTTTGTCTCTCAATTCTGATAGATTTGACATTCACTGTAACACTGGTTTGCAGCTTTTCTGCATGTTGATATAAACGATTCACTATTGCACAGCTTCTGTGAAGAGACCCAAGCCCCTTATTCCTAAACAAAATTTTAATATGGTATTTACAGGGTGATACATATCCTTCCAGAAAAACAGAATAAGTTGTCTTTTTCCAGTGATCTTTCCCAGTCTATCTCCTATAAAACATTCAGATCAACAGCTTCTTCCTCTGTATTTAACTCCAAAATCCTCTGGGCTAAGCATTACACTTGTTTTGGCACATTAAAAATTGGTTTTCACAGTTGACTGCAGGCGCCTTCTGTGCCCTAACTCTCAGCTGTTATTGATGAAAGGTCTGAGCAAGGGCTCCTGGCACTGATTAGTGAGCATAGCAATGTGGAAGGAAATGCACCCTGCTCCAGGAAAAATGCCAATCTTCTCTCAAAAAGTTCCTTTATTCATCCTCAGTTGTACTTGACAAAAGCTGATGGGCAGGGATTTGCAGGGACAGTAAAGCAGCCATAATAGAGGATCAAAATTCATCTGGGCCTGTGATGCTATACTTTACCCAGTAAGATGGCTGACTTGTTTAATATACTCTAGACCAACTCTTTTATTTCAGCATTGGAAGGCCCACTTGGCAATTGGTTATTTTTGTCTTCTCCTATGCTGATGTGGCTAATTCAAAAATGTCCTTATGGTTTAAGCCAGGTTTTCTTATTTCATTCTTTTCATATTCCATCATGTCAGAAGAACAAGCTGTTGATCAGAATGCTTTGTAGGTCAACAGGGAGAGTTCACTGAAGAAGGGACATACAAACAAGATGCAACTTGTTTGGTATCACATTTAAACATATTATATCACATATTAGAAATAGGGAGTCATCTCAGTAGTTTTTATAATTCTATTCAGGGCTTTTTATCAGAAAACAGATGCAGATCTATTAAAAATACTGTGCATGATTCCTTTAATAAAGCTGCCTCTGGGTTGCTCATGATTATGTTGATGATGACAGAGTGACTAAATTCAAAATATTACTGAGTATCCGTGGATCTGACATCAAGTGCCCCAGTCATGAAAGGCATTCCAACAAGTCTGAAATAAGCATGGTCCTTCAGTTTTCTAGTCCATACGATAATATAATATTGGTGCTTGGGTATTATGACAACTGTTGGTGTAGCAGCAAAGATGGATGATAAAATTCTAGGTAATAAGGCAAGAATGCCTTCGAGAATTAGGGAATATTTGGAACTAGACAGAGGCTCAGGTTAGGTAAGTATTCACTAAATAATGAGAGAGTCGTGGGCTCATGTAGATAGAGGCTCAGGACTTTTACAGGTTAGGTAAGTATTCACTAAATAATGAGAGAGTCGTGGGCTCATACTCTCTTCCTGATCCTTGAGGTTCAAGAGCTTAGCTGGGGTCTGTTTGAAATTTTGTTTTTCACTCCCACATGTTTAGGATCAACTTCAATTTCACCTCAGCATTAGGGACAGTCTGTTTGCATTGATGCTTTCTTCATTGTCTTCAGAATTTTCAAATACAAATATTAGAAAGATTTTCATTGCTTTCACTAAAGAATAACATAACTAAAGCTTTTTTGTGGGTGTGATTCATGTTTCCTGATTGAAACTTTATCTGCACGTTTTCAAGATTAAAAAAACCCAAGAAATCAGAAAGAACTAGGAGATGTACTTGAATGTGTGGATCAGATTAATTTGTATTTTTCTTTTTGATGGTGATATGACTTGTCACCAGATACACCAGAATTTCATAATTACTATCTGAAACAAGTGAAATTCACAAGCACAGAGCAGAAGGACTGAAAAGTATTGTATTATTGCCCTATCTCAAGTGAACTGAGTTAGAAATCAAATGCAGACTGAAAAGCAAAGCAAAATGTAGACAATTCAATTTCTCTAACTTTTTGATGCAGAGCATAAAAGGAAAAAAAAATCACTTTTTGTGAATACATATTACATTAATTTTTCTACTTTTAAAGATTGCTTACAGAAAACGTCCATAGATCTTTCATACATTTAATCAAGGAGGGCATGAGATAGCTAACATTAATACAATCAGGTAATGCAAACCACACTTGTTCCATAAAGAAGGAACATTTCCTGATATTGATATCAGAGATATTAATCTTTTGGAAAGTAGCTGATTTCTGTAGAGTTTGTCACACAAGCCCTATATAATTTCCCTTTCTGCTTGTGTCTGAGAGGCATAGGGATTCAAGATATGGCAGAACAGGAGTCCCTGGCTAAACTGAGCAACACATTTTGCACGCAGCCTGCCTTGACAGCTTTTTTTAAACCTACTTTACTCATACTCTTTGCTACTCTTTTATTCTTCTGGACTGTCTTCATTAGTTGTCAGATTTCTAATCCTATTTTACTCAAGCAGCTAGAGGCAAAATAGCAGAGAGCAGCAGCAAATTTCATTGCTAACAAGTCTATAGCATGAGGCCCACAGCAGCCCAGTTGCACATGAGTTTTTCTGTCCTTCAGGGTGGGGCTTTCTCTGGATTCACAGTGCTATTTTGTGCATTTTTTTGCAAAGATGTTGTTAAAGGCAGAATACACTTCTTTTTTTTTTTTTTTTTTTTTTTCAGGAGGTGATCACTTACAAACAGAAAAGTAAATGAATCAAGATAATTGTCTTCCATACTTTAACAATAATGACAAGCATACCTAGGTCTTACTCCAAATCTTAATTTTCTATTTTGTAACAAATGTGTTTTCCTCAGTACTTGAGAGCCTTTTGTACAATATGCAATACAAAATCTTCTGTACTGCCATTTCAAGTATTTTTATATAGAATACAAAAATGCATATTAGTTATCCTGAGTAAGGGGTTCCTGAAAACTTCCAGCCATGTCCTGAGTCTTTATTAAAATATTTCATCCTATTAAATTTGTGAGCAAACTATACATTCTCCTCCTGGCAGGCTGTCTGACCTACCTCAGTCTCATCCATTTCAAAAATACTCACCCTAGGCAGAATGTTCACAGGGATTTAATCACTGTCTCAGAAAATATTATACTTGGAAGTGGCATCCTTTGAAATGACCTATGAAAAATGTCAACATCTATCACAAGCCACCTACCATATTTGAAATACATTCCCCCTAGTTTGTCTAAACTTCTTTGTATAGAAGTTTTATGCTGCTGTTTTCCATCATCATCATCATCTATGTTTTAAAAAGTTGTTGACAAATGTAAGAAATATGAATTCAGTTCAGCCAGCCTTGGACACAACAATAGTTTATTTTTTCAAGTGAAAATTATACTTGCAACTGGAGATCCTTCTCCACAGCAGCCTTTCACTGCATCTGATACTCTGATATTCAAGGAGATTTTTTAATGTATGAATATAGTTTAGTCTTTTTCTACTTTAACACTTGTCCTCTCTTTTAGAAATATTAAAAAAGATGTAAGTTATATTGCTGATTTTTAGCACAGTAACAACTCTCAAATGAAACCTTACCTGAAATTCTGTTTAGGTGCTATAATGCAGATCTACTCTAACTTTCAATGTGAAGCTGGATTATATTCTAATATCAACACTGGTTGATAGCGCTGTGTGCTAACGCTAAAGTAAACATAGTTTTGCTAGCAAAGAGAGATCTAAAAAGCGTAAAAAGTATGCCCTGAGCACAATCAGATAAATTCTGAGTTATATCCCATGTCCTACAGCCTGTTCTACCTTACATTTTGTCCTTTTTATAAATAACAGCTCTTTAATTTCAGTTGCTAATAACCTGAACTATGCTTGAACCAGTAGCTTGCAGTTCTGTATCCTATGACCTCTGCTTTGCACTAAGCCAGCCATCTCAAGGCAAAGAACTTGCAGGACATCAGCGCTGGTTACTTGCTGCAGTCCTGTCAAGATATGTCCTGGGGCTGAAAGTTTGAGAAGTGTACAATAAATTAATATCTTCCAAGATTCTCTTTTACCGAACTTCTCTTTCATAGGAGCCATAATGTGTATCTGAACAGGTCAGTCTGCTTGTATTTTTGTGCTGCAATCTGCAGCAGCAACTGTTTCTGTTCACTTATTAGGACACTTCAGTGTTGGTGTTCTATGAATCAGGCTGTAGATGACAAGAAGTGCACATGTAGCCTCACCTAGATAGCAAGTAAAATCTTCCTTGCAACCCACTGGGATACCCAAAGCACTGACAAGAAAAGTATAACGTAGAGGAAGTAACAAAATGCTGTCAGCTACACAGTCATGATGATTTAAAGATTACAGAAGGGAACTAACTCATCCATCCTTCGAGTTGCACCAAGGATTAATATGGGCTAGTACATGCATTTCTAAAGGAATAAGTCTTAAATTATTAGAAATTTCTTTCCCCCATTATTTCCAAACAGGCAGTAGGCCAAGTTTGAACTATTTTTGAAAACTCTGTGCAAAGGCTACCTTTATGTTCCATGGAGATGTTGTTTCATGACAGAACAGGTGAGAATGAAAAGTCAGTAAAGAAACATATGGAACATTGCTGACTGCCAGGTTATATAACGGGTCCTATAGGAGTTCATATCATCAAAGGCATCATTCTTTCCCCATTGCTTTATTTTGAGGAATAAAATTATAATTTTTTTTTGTAGTGAGCTAATGTTACTAGATGGTAGCTTTTTTAGGTAAAGCTGCTGAAAAATTTTCAAGTAGAGGAGTTTGCCTTTTGAAAATGCATTTTCACAGAAATGAGGTATTTTACAGAAATGTCAACACTAGTGCAGTACTTTGAAGGAAAATAAAGCAAAGCAACACTCCATGTTTTGTCATGATACTACTAAAAGTTTAATTCAAAATACATAAAATACATTAATTTACATTTCTATTTTTAATAGTTTTGTTACATTAATATATGCTTAATATTAGTATATTGAAAAAGGAAAAATAATTAACCAACAAGATGTAATTCAAGGAAGATTTTTTTTTCCTTACATCAGATAGTAATGAGAAATGACATTCTATCCCTGTGTGGAAGTTCAAGAATCAGTGCACCAGATCTCAGTAACCAGCTCTCAGTTTATGTATGACATTTCTTGTGAGAAGTGAGAGTTCACTTGGGAAGGAGCTGGTCTAGATAGCCTACCAAAGAGACAAAAGGACTTTTTTTTTTATTTAGACAGAAAGACTTAGTCTATAATAGACAAGATATGATTCACACACATATTGGAAGTACTTGGTTGATTGTACTACTTGGTAAAGATTTTTTTCTTGTATCATATCATGTTTGAGGTCAGACACTCTTTAAAATTGTCCACAATGCATGTTCAGCGGGAATTATACTTCTGGACAAAAGCACAAGCTATAACTTTTTGTTCCCAAAATATAATTTGGTCTTTTTATTCCAGGAAGAGTATGTGCTTAATATGCATATGGTAGGCATATTGCTGTATCTATGAATACCTCTGAATTACTAAAATAATTGTCATCAGTTAAATTATTTCTTTAATAAAGAATGTGTCAATTATAACTTTTTTTTTAAATTAGTATTTAATTTGACTAATTGACAGCTGGCTATACTAATTGTGATTTGATCTGGGTTTTGTTCTGTCTCTAAAGGAACCAAGACCTCAATAACCTCAGCAAAGCGATTCCAAGTTCTTTCACAAGTGACAAAGAGTAAGTGTTCAAAGTTCCTCAGGCCCTACTTTTCTAAGGCAGTGAGTAGTTTGCAACTATGAGAATGTCAGGAAAGGTAAAGCTGCTAATCTGTAAAATGTTTATAGATTAATAAATAGCATTCCTTATACAGAAAGATGAATATAGAAATACAGATTAATTCACTGGCATGTGCACTGTCAGCTGAACCAGTACTACCTACAGCAAGCTCCATACATGTCTCACATGTTTCCACAATTACACTATCACTGAAATACTTTGATATGGTTAGAGAAGGGGCAGTAAGCAAAATATTGTAGAACTCTGGGATGATGTGTTGCCCAGCAAGGTGTAACAAAGCATTTCAATCAGCAAGGAAAGTCATCCATAAAGAAAGAAAGCTTAAATTTTCTTTTTTGAACAGTGTGTCAGTTCAATGAGTTTCAAGCCAAGTTTCTGGAGGTCTGCAAGCAGCCCTTCAGCACAGAGAAAGGGAGGAACTGGTGGAGTACTGTGCTAGTGATAGCTGTGTAAAATTTCTCACATTGAGCACTGATACACTACAGATAAATTTCAAGAACCATGTCCTAAAGAGTAAGAGCAGATAAATGTTGCCAACCTGTGTCATCTGTTTTACAGTAGACAATCTTACATATATGCACACACAGGTATACATACAGATATACATTTAGCACTAAACTCTAAGTTGGGTATCTTTTCTTTGTTTTGTTTTTTTTTAATGTTAATTCATGAAGAATTTGTTAGGATAGAGTCTAAGGCTTTGAAACACTACTGAATGTCAGTAATATCCAAAGTTTTACGCCTGTCATGAATTGAAGAGACAAAGTTAGGAGTCTCACAGAGCTGACTTGGCCTTCTGTTTTGCTCTCTACTTCTACCTAAAGAGAACCATGGGATTTTTCTTACAGTATTTTCATAAGTCATTCCATTCTTGAATTCATTGAACCATTTTAAAACAGTAAAGAAAATAGAAAAAAAACCTTGCCTCTAATTTAATTGTATTTAGAAATCAAAGAAAATATATCCTTATGTGTAAAATATGTGAGTGTTCAGAAACCAACATTTTCAATATAAATACAGACATGATCAGTGCTTTAATTGTTAACCATGATGACACACAGAGGTAATTTCTTGTCATTCCAGGAGTGAAATTTTGGACATGTGGCCATATATTTAGGTTTTATCTTCAGAAGCTGAAGTTTCTTAATTAAAATAAAAATTCATTTCTGCAAATAACTGATGCAAACATGGATTAAACTGCTTAGAATCTGTAAATTAATTATAAATTCTTTGAAAGTTCATGTTTCTTCTTCACTGTCTTCACTGGCAAAGAACAATCTTAAACTATGGAATTAATACAATTTTAAAAAGCATTTTTATTTTCTTGGATGTAGTCAATAATAATTTTTATAAATAAATAAATAGTACAGAACTTTACCTTGCTAGGGGAAAATTACAAACATACTTTCTTGAAGAACATTACTGTTTGAAAAATTTTAACATAAAATTAACTAAAAGTTTAGGGTTTTTTTTGCTTGTTTGTTTGTTTGTTTGTTTGTTTTAATAGAAACATAGATATATTTCTTTCTTTTATGACACTTTATCCCTTCCTAGATAGGGGCAATATCTTAACAGTTTTATTTGGGTTTTTTTTTTTCAGAGGAAAAGACCTTTCAGATTTGACTCAAAAAAATACTGCTGATCAGAAAAATAGGAGGTAAGCCTGCCATAATCTGCCTCTTATATACTATAAAATATTTACGGTGGATTGGGTATTGGTATTAATAGGTTCTGTTCAGTAAAATTAATTAGATTTTGATTTGTTTTCAAATGAGGACAACAGTGACCTTTCTTCAAACTTAATTTGTCAATGGGTAATACTTTTATTAGAGAGCATTTAATATCCAATATGAATGTAAAATTATATTTTATATACCTGACATATGTTAACACATGAAATTTATTATACTAAATCAGATTTTTTCACAGACAGTAATTGATGAGTTACTGGTATAAATGTGACCCCATGGACCTAGAGATTGCACACAACCCTAGATACCAGCAGTTGGAAGAGAGATTTGGACTGGATATGATAACAAAGCAAGGGACACACGTTGATAACCATTTCAATAGCTCATGGTCCTGATGCCTGAACTGAATGAAAGTCAGTTACCCAGTTAAAATGACAGAGCCACAGTCAATCTGGAAGATGTAGACAGGACCTCCACCGGTAGCGTGGCACCACAATGTGACACAGTGGCCACGAGCTGAAACACGAGACATTCTGACTGGCTGTATGGATGGCTGTCCAACACTGGAGCAGCTTGCTTGGAAAGCTTGTGCCATCTCTCTCCTTGCAGGATTTCAAGACCCAAGTAGACAAATACTTGAGCAGCCTGGTCTGGCCTCAGTGCTGTCCCTGCTTTGAGCAGAAGGTTGGACCAGAGAAGTCCTGAAGTCCCTGAATTCCAACCTGAATTATCCTGCAATACTATAATGGACTTGACATTTCTGAGCCATTTGTAATTCTTTTGCAGTGTCACATTGGAAAGAAACTGAAAAATATTGAAGCCTGAACAAATAACTTACTTGTAGTCAGGACTCTTACCTGGGAAACACATACAGTTTTGGTTTTTTTTCTTCAACATAAATAATTTAGTCCATTTAATATGTTTAGATTAAAGAAAATACTTCTATTAATTCTGAGGTCTTTCTCACTTTCAGAGATGAGGACCTTGGGGATCACACTGAAGCAAAGTCTGCTGATGACCAAAGTAAAAAGCGGTGAGAATCAAAGCATAATCCTCTCTAAAGTTTAATGGTCAAATATCAAGACTTGTAGCTGTTTAGTAGAACCAGAAAATATGAATTCATTTTACAAGCAAACAGAATTTGCCCAGTGTGAGTAAGATTATTTCTAAAATGTGCCTGATTAACCAAATATAACAATAAAGTTGCATGTATTTTGATAAGCAATGAGTCAAACCTATAATCTCTCATGGAGAATAAAAATGACTAGTGACAAGGTCCTCCTAAGTATTTTTGTGCTTTTCTAAGTGTTCTGTGAATCCAGCTGCTGGCGTCTCAAACAAATATAAGAAAATGCATTCCTAGTATAAAAGCTTTACTGCTACTAGATTTCATTATCTACAAAATCTAGGATCCATTTTGGACAATTAAAGTGAGGTTAGCAGTATGTTTTTAGGTACCATTCTGATGGTGTCTTTTTTGAGTGCTCCATTTAGTTGTATATCCACATGAAGAGGGAAAATGTAGTTATCTGTATAGATAGGCAGTTTTTCTATTTTTTAATAGAAAATATTTTTATCCCAGCAGTTCCACTCAACAGTCTGACCAGGGAAGCATATACTGAGCATCTCCAGTGAATGAGTTTCTCTTTCAGTTCTGACAGGAGCCTGCCCCATCACGAGTCGGGCACAAAGGAGGTGCTGCTTCCTGCAGCCCCACTCTGCATATAAAGCACCACAAGCACTGAGTGAGGGTCGTTCAGCAGAGCCTCTGTCCTTGGCAAGCTCACTGAAATAATCAAGCTGCAGCCCACACATCCAGAGTTAAGGCAGATAATGATCACGTTGTTCCAGAATATAACCTCTGGCAGAACCAAACAAGAGCAGCCTTTGTCTGCACTGCTTTGTAAAATCATCAGAAACATTATTAGCACTTATTCCTGATATCCCATAATTTGTATGACAAAGTATTTTTATGTTTGTTTGCCTGTCATGTTTTGTGTCAAGGAAAACTGCAGGAGGAGGTTTCTCTTGCTTGAATCCCGCTTTTTGAAATTAGTCTACGTATCTGTGTTTATTTGGTCATTTCTAATTAAAACATAACTGTGATATATCCAAAAAAAGAAAATTTGGAACTAAAATATCTTTGAGGAAACTAGACTTCAATTAAAGTTAGATGAAACTTCCAATATGAAAATATATGAATATATCACCATAAAGGAGGACTAAAAATTATAGGTCAGTGACTGTATTATTTTTCACCAACAACGATTTAACCAAAATAAGCCAAATCACTTTTACCTGCTTTTTCTAGTCCCAGATTCTGCATTCATGACTGTAAGAGTAAATTAAAACTGTGTAGCTGAAAAAGACTTCTAAAAATTGCTTATTTTCTTGTTGTGCGGTTTCTTTTTTATTTTAGGATAATTGAGAAAGCATATGAAAATCCTCCAAGGGCTCCAAATCATCTCCCAGAAATAAACTACTCTAGTGACAGTGAACGAAAGACCAGGTACTGTGGAAAATTAATTGGGTACTGTAATGGCTAAAGTGCCATTTCTTGAAAAGAAATCATAAAAATCTTTTTTATGCAAGAAATTTCAGGAATGCTTAGAAAGCTCTCATTGGTCTCTCGAATCATGGCAGCCCCTTTCCAAATCTGCATCCAGGATCCCAGGCACACAGAAGGTCACAAATCCTAACTCTAGTGCACAGAGTGAGGAGGACAAGACACACCCTGTGTAGCTCTGGAGAGATAGATGAAACAAAAAATTTAGGAGGGCAACTAAGCCAGAATTCTTATCTAATCAATAGAGGAAAGGCATTTCCTGAATGCTCTTATTTCTTATGAACTTTTTTCTTTATGAGACTGTAAGGCAAACATTAAACTATTCCCTTAAAGTGCCTTTTTAACTTCCTAAACCAATATGGGATGAATCTGAACCCATGTATCATCAACCCAATCACTGACACTATGGCATGGGAGTCTGACTTTTTGACCAAGAACAAACTATTTTAAAAACAGTTTCTCTTGCAGTATTCATGCTCTAGCTGGATTCTGCCTCTACAAACCCACATATTGCAAACCTGAGTGAAAAATGTGATGTAGTGTTTTTTAAAGGAACTAGCTGTATACCATGTCTATTGGTATCAGGAAATAATTGAAATAAAAGGAAATGTTATTTTGTTCTTCATGGTCAAAATTATTTTCCCAAAATATGACAACAAAAAGTATTATATATAATTCTTGAATGAAAGATCTTTTTGGATTAAGAAGAGCTCTTTTCAGTATCAATCCACCCATCTATACGGATTAATTATGTAGGAAGGACTGTTTAAAGACATAACCTATAGGTTTGTATTGCTGTATAATAGCTGCAAACTGCCTGAGCCAGGGTTGATGACTCAGCCTGAGCCTTACTGACAGGGAAAGTAAAGGTCACAGACTGATACTTAATAGGAATTATGGTCAATGTCCCCATCCTTAACCTTATGCACACCTGATCCTTGCTGTGGGTATGAATGGGCACAGGATCTTTAATCACTCATATTCTTACATCTGCAGCTGGAATACAGTTGAAATCTGTGTATTCTGAAAATTCTGCATGACCTTGAAGGATAAACCCATAAATTGGCTGAGAATAAAAGCAAAGTTGAACAGCCTACAATTTAAGATTGAAAATTAATATTCAACAGAAAAATTAATTAGCATTTTTCAGAATTTTGTGCACATACAGGCTCTGAGTTGTAATACGCTGATTTTCTTTGGAAGTTAAAATAGAGAACAGTAGTAGAAGAATGACAGGGCAAAGAATGTGCTGCAGCAATATGCAACATTACCTTACACTTGATAGACTTTATACCCTCTACGTGAAGTTCTAATCCCATTTTAATTCATGAAAACTTATTAAATGAATGGTCTTTGTAGGTTATTCTCTCAGGTTTTATGCAATAGGTTCAACAGAGTATTTTTGTTGAGTAGTTTGCTGTATGAACAAGTCACACCATAGCAAGTGAAGGAGTGACTGATATGAACTGAAAGAAGGGACGTGATCAGATGCACAATTCTCAGGCTACACTGGGACTCAGTTTTCACTTGGTGTCTCATCAAGCTGTCAGACTATGCATTTATTTAAATGTTCTGAGTTTCCTTACACTTTCAGTTGACAAGGTTAGAAACTGATGCTTTGGAAATATTTTTGCTGTAGCTTCAGCGTTTTTTTGTTTTACACACTCCAGTTGTGGTTTTCTACCTAAGCTGTGGTTATATATATTTTTGTGTATTTCAACCATAATACTCCAGTCAATTAGTGAAATCCAAGGGATGATGTTCTCTACACTAGGAGACTTGAGGAAAAGTATTTTTCTCTATACAACTTCCTATAAGATAATGTTACTTTCAGGCATGCAGCATGTAAATACCCATAATATGTTGAGTTTATGTTGAGTGTCCATCACTTTGCCCAAGATTCCACAGTTAAATACGAGTTAGATGGAAGATTTGGGAAAAAATAAGCTTAACAACAAAAATAACAAGCACAGGCTCATACTTTACAGGAACGAAGAAATAATTTTCCACTGTAGCACTGTAGCCACTTTTCACTGTAGCAAGAAACTTTAGGCAACTGCACTACCAATATACTCCACCCTGTGACATGTGTTGTGCACATTCTTGGTCAAGAGAATTTCTCAGTCAGTGAAACTCTTTCAAAAGGTGATCACTTAGCTTTAGTTTGCATTCCTGCTTAGTAAGCTTATTTTCATCTCACCTGAAATGTAAATGGAGCACTGGGCATTCATGTGAGGAGATAATTCCTCTGTGGTGAGCAAACCTAGGTTTGTTACAGTCTGATTAAATAACAAGCCCATTGTTATTTCTGTGTTACGTTCTATGAGATATAAATAAAACATTTATTATTTCAGCTTATCAGTAAATGCATTTTAAATACATTTCTGGTGCTGCACAGAAATCAAGTAAGACATATGTACTTTACAAAACACAGATGTGTAGAAAAGATTATCTGAGCTTCAAAACACCTCACACACACACGTTATCAATCTGTTGTATTTCCTGGAAAAAACTAATGTATTTATTTGGTAAATACACGTGATTATAAACAATTGCTCCTAACATTGCAGAACACTATTCAAGAGTGATGTGAAACATGTAATAATTACTATATACCTTAAGAATTTCTGGAGAATAGGATAAATAAATCATTTCGGAAATCTTCAAAACCTGTTTGGCAAGATTACTTCTTCAAGTGTCACATACATATTCATCCCTTCCATCAAAACAAAACTGACATTTAAGTAACTTGGAAATGGGACTGTTAAAAGTGGAAGATTTAACTTCCCTGATAATTAAATTCAGAATATTCCTTTCTACTCATATAAGGAACAATACAGTTACTGTTGTGAACACAAATCATACACTGAGAAGCCTGAATTACAAAGACTCTCACTCTAATTCTAGGGACATATTGTAATTTTGTTTGGCCATTTGACAGCTTTTTGAAGACAAATAAAAGAAGAGGAAAATGAAAAAATGTAGTCTGACACCATTTTCTGATATGCATCATTTAGGCTGAGATAACAGCACAGGAAACCCAATACCGTTATGTAAATTTTGCTCAATGGCCTCATGGATTTAATTTTGGAGTGCTGAAGAATCATTCAAAAATAGAACAGTCTAAGGACACTATATTACAAGTATTACTATATTACTAATTTACATTTTTATTTGATATATTAGTCTTGATGGTTGTGAAAAAAAACAGAAAAAGAACTCCTCACCAAGTATGTTTTTTGCAAGCATGTTTTCTTAGTTTATTTTGCATATAATCATCAATGTAGTGAAGCCTTTAAAAATGTAGTACTGTTTAGTGATAACTATGTACTCTTGCTTCACAGCAAATCACCATTTGGTGCCTATGAAGAAAACATAACTGGAAATACTATCAAAACTGTTTATTCTACTTCTGATCGGTAAGTACACATTAATAACATCGTAGAGTACCAGAGGACACAGACATTTACATAAGCATTCAAGTCTTCAGACAAAAGAGAGCCCTGGAAGTCACCATCATGAGGCAGCTTTTCATACAAAGTTCTCTTTCAGTGAGATCTTACCATCAAATCATTACCACAGTTCAGCAGCCTAATATTATGTTAGGCTTGTCACAGCTGACATTTGAAAATATCTATAGAAACAAGAGCCAGTGCCTTAAGTGACAGAGTTGGCTTTGTGATTCTGTAGGTTTCTATCTTCAGGCAGCCACTTACTCTGCAAAATTTCCTTCCTTTGTGGAAATGGTAATGACCAAATTTATGTACAAATGTGGAGGAATAGGTTCACATAACAATGCTGTTGAAAACTATCTTTTCACACCAGTAAGACATTCCCAAATATAAGCAGGATATTTTCTCAATCTGTAATAACTTACCTCATGGGGAAAAAGAAGTTAAAAGTTCTCACTATATTCAATTCCATTTGGACAGCCCTACTACCTGGAAATACCTAATCAGAAAAACTTGTATCCTTTCCAACATAAGGATAAGGAACTCTGGGGATGATTAAATATTAGTACAGCAGTTTGTCATGACAGGCAAGGAGCAAGAGCCATTGATTTAGTAATGCTAAAACAACACCAACAGCTGTATCTAGACAAAGTACAGAGTGATGTCACACAGGAGTGCAGCAAGAGCTGAGACAATTTTTAAAATGTTATTGTCACGAATACCTTGTAGGCTGTTCATACATGAATTTGCTATAATTGCCATGAAGGTATGAGTTCTGTCCGCAGTGCAGAAAGTCAAAAAGGTTTTCAGGCACCTCTGCACCACAGAGAATTCTGTGAACCAGACTGATCAAGTTATGGCAGTCTGAATTCAACTACCAGTTTACTTTTGAGATTACAACATTAAAATCATTCCCCTCCACCTTATCCCTGTTTAGTATACATGCTCCCAAACATTCAGCAGCTTAATTCAGTACACCAGAGAAGACCATTATATCTACCAAGGTATTTTTGCTACTTGACAATTATGCTCAGCAATTTGCCCATCACAGGAGCACGTGTATGACACCTGTCAACTGGAATGGAGAGAATACACAAATAACATTTTTCCATTATGGCCATTGTACAGTATACAAATGTCTTTCCCACGCAGTGTGCTAACCTTATCAATTTTCTGCTTGAGATTTCAATGGCAGCTCTTTTTCTGACAGCTGATGTTATATTATATACACAGGAGTATAATTGGAAAAGATATATGTACATACTGCAGGAAGCCCTTGGGCATAGATGCCAAAATGATCTTAGATGCCTTGCAAATTTACTGTCATTCGACTTGCTTCAAGGTAAGAAGATTTCACCTGCTATCAAGAAATGAAATTTGATTGTAATACCTGCATTATAGTACACATATAATATGAGATTATTTAGGCCTTAGGACTTCTCCACCTGTGAGAATAAGAAGTCTTGAGACTGGAGGAGAAGATTAATGTTGGAAATACTAACCTCTCTGTTTCCCTCTCTTCCCTACACAATCCCTTCCTTTTTCTTTCTTTTTCCCTCTCTCCTTCTCCCTCTACTCTCCTCTTTGCCTCTCCTCCCTTGCAACCATAAGCAGGATAAAGGATGCAGCTGAATATATTCTTAAAGTCCTACACATTTTTGAGCTTTCAGTTCAAGTCTGATACTGTGAATTATATCCACTTACACTTTCTTCATGTTGTGAAATTTTATTCAGTTTTTATGGAGTTTTTTAGGTGTTCTTGATTGACATCTAAAACAGTCTTAATTATTAAAAAGCAGGAAATTTTTTCCTATTTCCATGAAGAATTAAAGCACAGAAGAAATATCTCTTTTGTTTGTAATTCCAAACCCTGGGCCTCAGCCTAAAATTCACTCTTAAACTTTTCTCAGGGTATGCCTGGCAGCGCTCAGTCCCACAGTCTGTTTTCTTTCTGCCTCATTTGTCTTATTTCTGCTGGTATCTACACACAGAGTCTGTTGTTCTAACAAACAATATGCAGCAAAGTCACTGCATTAGCATAGATCATATTTCTGCTCAGTCCTGCACAGCTTTTATTTCTGCTTCTGACAGCAATTCTTGTCCCTATTTACTACATGAAAAGTAACACACATCAGAATACAGCAGTAAGGTTGCACTTCACATGCATGAAGCTTCACACGCTTTTTGTTTACTGTGGACTTTCTGAGCTCTCTGAGCATCAGAAAGGCATTTTCTTCCATTTGAAATACTATGTGATATGTCCTCAATACTATTATTGCAAGTAAATATAAGTTCTGGTCTGCTTCCATTCTTTTTAGACAGATCAACCCACATAAAGAAGAATGGGCTTTTCATTAGGAGTATTAACATGTTAGCAGCGGCTGAATTATCTGTTAAATACTTAAGTTTATTTTTTAAACTATCTTTTTTTTGTTACCTGCTATCAAATGGGGACCTGTCCGGCCAGGAATGTTCAGCTTAGTTTTTGTATAACTACAAACTTATGAAAACATTGGCAAAAAAATTTAAACAATTGATGTAGGTCTCTGGTTCATGCTTGTAGGTATGTATTTAGCTAAGCAGTGCAATTTCTTATAATTAATATTAATTTAGCTCCTAACAAATACCCTGTATCCATTAGAGATTTGCATATAGCTGACAGCAGTACACCATCTTAATTTCCTTGTAAAGGTATATACCAAAAGTACATGAATTAAATAACCCAAATTTTAGATTTTTTTCCTCTGTGTAAAAATTCTAGCTAATATTGGTGATTGGAGCTTTGAACACATGGCCACCCTTTTGCTGATTTAAACAGAGAAATATAAAATCAGTGAAGACAGCAGATTGTTTTAATAGCACCTTAATACTAATGCTGATTTTCACTTATCAGTGGATAAAATATCCAAAGAAACCAGAATTTACTATTCTTTAATCAGATTTGAATAAATAAATAAAATTATCTGGGTATCAAGATCCTAGTTTCTGTATCAAATTACCATGCTTCTTGATCCACTGTAGGCTTTCCTTGTGATCTTGGTAAGTCAGCCTCTGTGTGTATCTGTGCATTTTCATATGTGAAACATGGGCAATGTTTCTCTATCTCAAAAAAATTAACTTTTTTGAGACATTTGTGAAAGCAGTGTCCAGATACTGCAAGAAAGGGAAACACAGTTAACTGTTAAGATAAAGTGTCATATTTTGAAATATGCAGGTCTAGATTCTTTAAGATCTACTCTCAGTTAGATGATTATGTGTGATCATTCTCCATTTATTCAATGAAGAAAGAAAAGGATATCAAAATGGAGATTCATCTTATTGTAGGATAAAGCCTAAGCTAAGACAGAGAAAGTAAAAGTGCCTTTTGGAAATGTCTGGAGGAAGGACAGGATTGTTGAGTGTAATGAGTACCTAGGCAACCAGTTGAGACACTGGTATCTGATTTTTAGATATCTAAAAGAGACATAGTCAGATATCTAACTTCTTGTTCTCTAAAACTACTCTTTCAGAGTTAATTTTTTATATTTTAGTACTAATAATTCCTATTCTAGTCTGGGGTTGCTTGTTTCCTAAAGGAAAGCATGCTGGGTAAGAGTATTACGAAAATGTTTCATTTTAATTTTTCTTCATTCTTTGACTTGTGTGTTGAAGTGTGAAGTATGTAAGAGACCTCTGGAAGATCTAAAAGCAGGAGACAGCATTTGGATTTACAAACAAACTGTGCACTGTGAGCCTTGTTATTCCAAAGTTAAAGGTAAGGCACAAGATATATAATACTGAAGGTGGGAAAAACCGTTTAGTGAACTTCATTCAAAACATTTCAATATATGACAAGACAGCTGTTGCTTATGATCATTTGTGTGTACTTAAACCTTTTCAAAGCATCTATTTCAGTAAGTCTGGGTGCTTAGGATGATATCCAACCCCAGGTTCTAGACACAATTATGCTGTATCTGTGAGGGAGATCTTGGTTGCACTGCAAGTTCATCTCTTCAGGTCTCTCTGTAGAGTTGTACCTGTGCAATCAATAGAGACACCTAGAGGGGGGCAATGGCACCTTGCCCTGGAAGAGAGAATAAATTGCAAGGCCATCTGAGAATCAGATTGTTCTACTGAAACAAATAAGACAGGATGCAGAAGTATTTTCAACTAATGGAGTAATTGTGATGAGAGAAGATACAAAATCTATGAAATCATAATGAAGATATTACATGTGATTATGATTCTTACCTCCGTGAGGAGCAAAGTGAGTAAAAAATGTGCAAGGCAGGGACAAATAAACATTTTGTTTTATTAATTTTTCTAGAAGTTGCTAGATTTTAAGTCTTCTCTCTTCATGGCAATTATTATTTCACAATACTATAAATCAGTACCTCTCTACCAAATTAAGACAAACAGAGATGTGGATTAAATAATCTGATAAAACAGTTTTCAACAATGTAATTTTGAGATCAGATCATGTTAACTAAAATTATATTAAAAATTTGTTTTCTTAAAATACTTTTGTTATTAACTCACCATAAAATCTGATGGGAATGGGGAATTTTGCAAATAATCAGATTGGAAAATTAATTGTAGGGCACTTAGAGCATACTGCTTTGCTTGGCATCTCTGACCAATCTTTTCTCTCTTGCAGAAAAATGGATCTACTAATTTTGATATACAGAACGTATGATGAAGAAATTACTATCGTTAGTTAATTGTGTTGGCCTGTTAATTCAAAACAATGTGGGAAATTATTCATTTTTACACTGGGAATTCTCTGAATGAAGTCCTACTGCATGGTCATTAAAAGAATTATTTTAATGAGAATTTAGATGCATTTTCATACACACATTGCAGGAAGCAAAACAAGATATTGGTCAGTATATTTATAAGATCTGTGAAACCACTAAATTTTATGTAAAATCAATGTAATTCATTCAAATTTTCTGAATGCCAGGACATTCCTACATATTTGTTTTGAA